TATTCAGACAAGCAAGAATAAACCTACACATCTTCTATGGCCGCCATGAACCTTATATCTGAGTTGAAGCCTTTCAAGAACCAATGGAAGGTTCAAGTGAAAATTGTCCGCCTTTGGAAAGAGTATTCTGCAGCTGCTGGGGAGACTATCGAAATGGTCTTCCTCGATGCTAGAGTAAGTTAATTTTTTTAGAAATGATTGAGTTTTATTCTATTTCTCTTTTTGACGTATGCATTGAGGAAGAAGTATATCATTTCGATGAGTTTAAAATATTAAAAGAGTGTGTGTTGTTTCGTAAACTAACTAATTGTTATTTTTGTATGTAGGATTGCAAACCAAGAGTTTTGAAGACAATTTAAATTATTATATCATGTTTAATTTTCTATTTCTTATTTTATTTTAATCTACTTTTTTCTCATTATATCATGTTTTGTTTCTCTATGTTTTATTATGATATTAATTATTTTAATTTATTTACTACTTTTTTTAGTAGACGACTTCTTAATTTTTTTGTATCATCATGTATCTATAAGACAAATAGATATATAAGACAAAAAGTGAAAACAAATAGCTATGAATCAATGCTTCGTTTCGCAGCTATACTAATATCTCATTATATGACTATATGATTTTTATTACTAATTCACATTCACTACCTATTTTTAGTTAAACAAATTAATATACCAAATTATTGTTCGATCAAAGTCAAAATAATCTCACCCCGCGCAGGGCGCGGGTCAACACCTAGTTGATTAGTAAGAAACTAATCTTCAAAAGAAACGTGGTTTAGAGTAAGTTTAGCCTAAATTTATAATTCTTTCTCAAGTGAACAAATCGTTATCTGATTTCATGACGTGCAGATCGATGAGTTAATTGAGATGTTCCAGAACCTCCAAAGTCCAAACGGTGATGCTGGAGAAAGTGAAGACGAAGAAACAAGCAACGTCAAAAATAAAGACTTCAAAGGAAAATATATTGTTGTATATACTTTTGGGGATAGAAAAGCCTAACCACATGCAGAGCGTCGCCACTGAAAATTTAAACATTGGCTTAGGGATTAATTTTTATTTGTATAATTTAAAGGGCATATTTACCAAAAAAAATATAGTTGTATATGGTTTTGTTGGTAAATATTACTTGATAGCTTTTTAACTTGAATTGTTGCATAATTGTTTGTGTATTTTACTATAAAACATTCTTGTAAAATATAAATATTATTTTTCTTTAGCATATGACATTAAAAATCGTTGTCACTGCTCTGCACATGTGATGTTACAAGTTGCAGAGACAAAGCAAACGAAGTAACATATGGCGCGCAGAAGCACAACAACACCAACTTTTGTGGAATCTAGCTTTCTAGTGGAATCAAAGAACGAAGAATCCGAGGAGGCACTACTCTACCCCATGTATGATTTTGTTTTTTCCATGTATGATTGTTACGTCCGTAGCTAAGGAAAAAAAATGTGGTGGATGGTGCAGACATTCATTGTCATTCATTTCATGATGACCCACCATTGTATCAAGAGTGTCACAATCATTGCTATAGATGCAATGAGTTGGAGCTTAAAGAAATATCTGAATCAAAGATGGAAGTAATGATATGGGACTATGGTTAGGGTGATTGAGGGGTATCCTAATAGTTTGGTGCTTTACTTTATAATAAGACTTTCATATTTTCTTGTCCGGGTAACTTTCTTTTTACATTAAGATTAATAAGAAACCAATATCCAAAAAATAACCATAATCTCAAAGATAGACTAAATTTAAGAGAAAGCTTAGCATAATCGTCTAGTGTTTTTTTCTCAAAGTGAACAAAGATTCATATCAGCGAGAGTATATATGTACCTTTCCACAACTTGAGTGAAGATGGTGAGTTCTTCTAGCTCGCCATAGACATCGAATATGTCATCTATAATATAAATGAGTGATATTAATTTTGTAAGATCAAGTCTTTGTTCGGAAAAGGTTGGATCTTGAAGAATTCCCATGGACCATGTGTGCCATTTCAACGGCTGGTTTCTTGCCTTCCTCAGCTCTTTCTCTAAACCAAGGTCTCTCCACCATCTGAAAAATCAGAAACCCAAAATATCTTATGTCAAATTCACATTTATTCAACATGCAGTTAGCATCAATCATTTTTTATTTAGCATCTATCTTTTAAGATATATCATTCTTGATTTTACTTGAATGTTTGAGATATTTCTTCTTGCAACAATGACTTCAACATCATGGAATCGATCTCAGCCACTCGTAATAGAGATTGTAACCAATCATTATTTTCTTCACCCATGATTTTGATCATGCTTATGAACCTCTTGGAGGTTAATCTGCTTAAAGTTTTGTGGCGAGGTTGTGCCAAAGAACTCATTATCTCCTGCTCTTGATGATTTTCTCGACCCGAACAAAGTTCTGTAAGACGGGCAAATGTGAATTCTCTCAAGCTATCAAGTATTTCTTCGCCTTCTACACCGAGCTCAGAAGCTTCATACAATTCTATTAGACCGTCCACATCATTTTGTATGTCATCTCGGAATCCACTCTTCTTGTCTAGAATGTTTCTGAAAATGCCTAAACGTTTTATAAACATTGTAACAGTAAATACGCAGAAATCATACAAGTAAAATATAGCAAGTACATATAGATTTTGTACACGCTATGTCACGTACTTTCTTGGACATTGTGGCCTTCTTGTCTCAGCAATCGAAAGCAAAGTGAAACCTCGCGGAGATCACGGCCATAGTATCCTTTGTTTTGATAAAATTCCTTATAAATGATGCGAAGGATTTGATCGATTTCGTGTAGGAAATGGAGATCGATGCCTAAACCTTGAATGGTATCGATCATAGCTAAACTCTTGAATGGATCATCTAGGTTTGCAATAAGTATATTCTTGGCTTTCTTAATATACAATTCGTGTAAATACTTCTACAATAAAGTACACGATTTTACAAAGCAGTAAAAATCAAACAGAGAATATGGGTATACATCTACTATTAACAGAAAAACTAAAATAATCTATACTATTAAAATAGAAACACCAAAAAATCTATTCACTAAAATCATAGTTGAACCATGCATTACATTAATTTAATTTTTTTTTAATTTTTTCCATATAACGTACTTATTAAATATACATCCTATCAACACACAATATTTAAATATTTTCAAAATAAGATATCGAAAAAGATATTCTTAAATATTTTTTAAAGATTGCATATATATATCTTTTTAATATTAACTTTTAACTTCCAAATTCATATCAAATATTATTATAAATGAATATTAATTCATTTTATTTACCATTTTATGATATTTTTATATACATCATTTATATTCATAATTAAATTACTACACCAACTAATAAATATAAATAACTTAATCCATTGATTCATTATTTTATAATTTATAAAACTAAAATAATTACATATACATAATAATAGATATTCATGAATTTTACGATATACTTCAACTTATTAAAATATAAAAGTAAAATATTTAAATAAAATTTTATATTTTAGTATTTATACTATTAATTATATATGTACAAATATTTAAATATTTCTTGCATATAAAATTTGTTAACCAAAAGTTAATCTCATACTTTAAAGTATAAGTCAAAATCTAGTACTTTATTGTGATCAAACCGCCCCCAAGAGTTTGAGGTGATGATTGTTTACATTAGTTTTAGTTTTTGTTTTTGTTTTTTTAGATTTGGTTTTAGATTTTGGTTGTTAGTTTTTAGGTTTTATTCTTGATTTTCAGCTTTTATTTTTGGTTTTCAGCTTTTAGATTTTTTTTTGGTTTTTGCTGTATTTTAGTTTAAAAAAAAGTCAATGCATTGTTTTAAAATAATAAAACAAAAAAGCTACAAAATATTTTAAAGTTACCATTAAAATTTATCAAAATAGAGTGATTTTTATCTAAGATAAAAAAATACACTAAAATGTTTCTAAATTATTTTGTTTTAAGTATTCTTTAGAATATAAATAATAAAATATCTTGAAATTATTAAAATAAAAATATTATAAAATTTTGAAACTATTTTTAAATTTTCTTATATGAAATTTTTCGTTTATAAAACTAGAATGGTTATTTTTCAAATTAATATAATATATTTTTATTAATAATATATTTAAGTTTTTATCCTTTTTATTTATTTTTAGTGTGTCTTATAATTATTACAACTTTTTAAATGATTTTTATAGAAATTAATAACTAATTTTTACACTTAATTAATATATATAAATATCCAATTTACTTGCAGATATGAAACACAAATAAATTATTTTACATTCAGGTTAAATGATATTTTCTACAAAATTTTGTATGGGTACTTTATCTTAATGAAAATATTATTTATTCAGTTAAAATATAGATTTTTTACAAAACAAAAAGAGATAAAATTAATTTTTGTATTAAGAAAATCACAAAAGTTGATTTTTGGTTTTTTTCACAAATTGGTTAAAATTTTAATAAATTAGTTTCTCTAAATTTTAGGGAATCTATTTATTTAAAAACTTGATTGCTAAACAAAATGGTTTTACAAAAACAAAAACTAAAAGCTAAAGCTTGACTAGAAGAAAAATGATTTTTACAAAAACAAAAACCATTAACAACCTCTGAATCTGATTGGTAGACGTTGTTGGGACTCGGTCTTTTAGTTGTATTTGCATGAGAAGATGAAGCTACCTTTCTCTCAAATTTGGAACTCTGAAACTTTGGAAGACTGTTTGGATTTGTAGAAGCAAAAAGAGAAAGTGGTCTTATCTTGAGAGATAGTAAAGACATGTCGAATGAAATTAGGATTTTAATGAAATTGGTATAAAGTTTCATACGAGGTGCTCTTATTTATATGATTGATAAATCATAAAGGAGTGGTGGAGGGATGATTTGGGGGATGGTGGGGACATAACAAAAACACATACTATCATTTTATCATATTTTACATATGTTCAAAGTAAGCATCCATCATGCCACTACTGAAGAGATTGCGGTAGGTATTAAGGAACTATCTAACGCTCTTAAGGCGGAAGAGATGTTTTGGGAACAGAAGTGTTGGATTTTCTAGTTGAGAGAGGGGATAGCAATACTAAATTTTTTCATGCCCTTACGAAGCAAAGGAGAGCAAGGAATATGATTACCCAATTACTGAATAAAGATGAAAATGTTGTTGAGGATGAGGAAGGATTGGTAGACATTACTACAAATTATTTTATACACATCTTTCAATCTTCAAATCCTGAGGCAATAGAGGAAGCACTCTCTGAAGTATCTACAACAATTACCTCAATAGATAATGCGACTTTAACATCCCCGGTCACTGAGTGGGAGGTTAAACTAGCTCTTTTTGAGATGCACCTAAAGAAAGCTCCAGGACCGGATGGAATGACGGCGTTGTTCTACCAGAAATTCTGGGATATTTTAAAGGATGATCTAACTATTATGGTTAATCAATTCCTTTTCGTCGGAACGGTGCCATCTGGCCTAAATGACACCAAGATATGTCTCATTCCAAAAGTGGAGAAGCCAAATCAGATGAGTCAGTTACGCCCTATTAGCTTATGCAATGTTAGCTACAAGATTATCTCTAAGGTCTTATGCCAGAGATTAAAGAAGTTTCTTCCAGATAGGATCTCAGAGACCCAGTCAGCCTTTGTTGCTGGGAGACAGATATCTGATAATATTATGATAGCTCAGAAGTTGTTCCATGCTCTAAGGACAAAACCGAGTGGCCGAAACAAGAGGATGGCTAACAAAACAGATATGAGTAAGGCCTATGATAGAATAGAATGGCCCTTCATTAAGTCAGCCATGAGGAAAATGGGCTTTTCTAAAGTTTGGATAACTATGATATTGAGATGTGTAACTTCAGTAAAATATAAGGTCCTTATGAATGGACAGCCTAGAGGGAATATTGTCCCGGAGAGAGGTCTACGACAAAGAGATCCTCTGTCCCCTTTCATTTTTATTATGTGCACGGAAGCGCTCGTTAGCCTTCTAAATCACGCAGAGAATAAAGAGAAGATAACGGGGATGCGCATTACGCGTGCGTGTCCCTCGGTATCTCGGCTTCTCTTTGCTGATGATAGTCTGTTTTTTGTAAGGAGGAGCCCCGTGAATGTGAAAAAATAATGAAAGTGGTCACGATATATGGACAAGCTTCAGGACAATGCATCAATTTTGAGAAGTCTTCTTTACTCTTTGGTAAAAGAATCGGACAGGATGTGAGACAAGAGATCAAAGACACACTTGGGATCCAAAATGAAGGAGGAATGGGGTCATATCTGGGTATACCAGAGGATATCAGCGGGTCCAAATGTAAGCTCTTTGCTTTCCTTAATGACAAACTGAGAAATAGAGTGAATGGATGGACTGGGAGATGGCTCTCTAAAGGTGGGAAAGAAGTTATGATAAAATCAATCATGCTTGCCCTTCCGACGTATGTAATGTCTTGTTTCCTTCTCCAATTGGAGATTTGTGAGAATCTAGCTAGTGCCATTGCACAATTCTGGTGGAGCTCAAATCCGCCTAAAAGGGGTATTCACTGGTCAACATGGGACAAATTATGCTTACCGAAAGATGAAGACGGTATTGGTTTTAGGATGATTCATGAGTTTAACCTGGCGCTACTGGCAAAACAATTATGGAGACTGGTACAAAACCCGGATTCTCTAGTTGCTCGCGTCTTGAGAGGTCGGTATTACAGATTGAGTACGCCTTTGCGTCAAATCAATACTAGTAGTCCCTCTATGTGTGGACAAGCATAGGTCTGGGCGTTCGGGTACCCGTTCGGGTTCGGATCGGGTATATCGGATATCGGTTCTTTTTTGTAACACCTCTTAGGTCCCATTTTAAGAAATTCTTAAATTCGGATCGGGATCGGATATAACACATCGGTTTCGGTTCGGGTTCGGATTATACTGAAGTTACCATATATCATTTGGGTTCGGGTTTTACTGTATCGGTTTCGGATTAACTAAAGTAAAATTCAAAGAAAAGAAATAAACAACCACTCATAAGTGACTAGATAAGAACTAAGAAACATGTCTCTCAAAATTAATAAACTCAAACTTAGTAAAAATGTTTGCACCAACACACTAATACCGATAATAGCAACATAAATTTTTAAAATGGAAAACAAACTGAGACAAAACCACAAAAGATTACTATGATTCATATGACACAGAAGACTCAGATTGATTTCTGAATATCAAGTCCTTACCTCGGATTGAGTTCTTGAAATCAAAGATGGTGGAGGAGATAGAGAGAATTTCTTGTTTGTGTTTCTGAACATACTCTTCGATCAAACACCTTATTTTAATAGGAGATTAGGTTTTTGAAACTAGAAGAAGAGGAATCGCCCCTAAGGTTATTATGAAAGGTGTGGTTGTGTCTAGACTTAGTTGTGTCTTAGAATTGAAAATAACAAAGTGTGGTTGTGCCTTCTTGGAAATTGTCAAAATCAAATAATGATTAATACGTGTATATACTTACTGTACATTATACATATAATCGGTTATTTCGGGTTTTAGTTCGGATATCGGATAAAAACGAACCCGAACCCGATAACCAAAGTATCAGCATATCAAACCCGATCGGATATTTTAAAAGATCCATAATCGGTCGGGTTCGGGTTTTTCGGTTCGGGTTCGGATTCGGTTTCGGATTATGGATAATATGCCCAGGCCTAAAGAGAATTGCTACTATTAGGAATTAGACAAAAAAATCATTCGGGATATGAGGTTAAAGCTTGAGAGGATCCTTGTATTCCTATTATACCTGCGAGACCGGCAATCCTTTTGACACCGGTTCTGCATCCGAATATACGTGTGAGCGATTTGATTAACCAAACTACGAAGACTTGGGATGAAAGATGACTTCAGGATTACATTAAAGCGGATGACATTCCACTCATCAAGGGCATGGCTATTAGTTCCACACATCGACGGGATACGTACTACTGGAGCTATACATGGACTGTATAGTATACCGTTAAATCTGGATACTGGGTAACACGAAATATCTTGAGGAAGGAAGATGAAACTGAAGTATGTGAACCTAGTATCACAAAGCTCCAAGCACATGCGTGGAAGGTCAGGGCTCCCCAAAAGATTTGCCATCTTATGTGGCAGGTGATTACAGGACATGTAGCTGTCACAAGCATTTTAAACTACCGGCATATGAGATGTGACAACCACTATCCTCGATGTGGGTAGCCAGAGGAGACGATCACACATGCAATATTTGAATGTCCACCTGCTTTACAGGTCTGGGCGCTAACATCTACGCCTACCAATCCTGCTATGTTTCCAGTTCAAAGCACGTACGCGAATATGGATTATCTGTTCTGGAGGAAGAAAGCAATAATGGAACCGGAATTGGATAGGGATCCTTATCCTTGGCTAATCTGGTACATTTGGAAGGCTAGGAATGATAAGTTATTCCGAGGCATTGACAGGGATCCATTGGAAGTGGCGCAGTACGCAGAGAGTGAATGCCAAGCATGGTTCCAAGCAAATGAGCAGGAAGTATCGTCTCCTATTGGGGATGGAATAGGTGAAGACCAGGCCTTAAGCTTGGGAAACATCTGCATGGTGGATGGATCTTGGACTTCAACGGACTACTTCAGTGGATGTGGGTGGGTTTTGACTGATACTTCAGGAAATAGCCAGCTACTAGGGGTGCGTAATTTTGATCGAGTGGAATCGGCGTTGCATTCAGAGTTGGAAGCACTGCGGTGGGCAATGGAGAACATGCTTCAACATTCGCCATGTCAGAGCTTTAGAACTGATTGCAAGGAGATGATCGAAATGCTCAGGAATCCTCAGGCATGGCCTAGCTTCTCAACAGAGTTGGAAAAATTGATGACGCTGAAGATCTGCTTTCCAAACTTCAAGATCTATTATGTTCCTAGACTCCAGAATGGCGCTTCTGATTCTCTAGCTAAGGTAGCTAGGTCCTTTTATCGTAAGCTTGTGTACGTTGGTTGTTCTGTTTCGGTCTAGTTACCCAGACCACCTCATGTCGCTTGAGTAATAGAACGGCCGTTTGATGTCACAAAAAAAAAAATGTAAGCATCTATATAAATATATAAACTATAAAGTAAGATTTAAGCCTAATCAGATATTTATACATAAAAGTTTCAGTTGGCTCAGATTTGAGTACATATCCATGTTATGGATTTTCAGTGCTTAAACCCCTAGGTAAGTTTGATTTGGGTAGAAATCATTTAACCTACAAAATTTATTTGCACCAATCTTTTATTTTACCAGTATTTTAGACCGAGGGTCTAATCAATTAAATAAAATTAGTTGAAAGTTTTCAGTTAAATCTGTAGTTTAAGAGTTTTCACCCTGAGGGTGTTAGCATTAAAATGCGTAAAATGAGTTCCCCTCAATTAAATCAGATGATATATGGGAGGACATTAAAAGAGTAGAAGGGATCTGACATCAATGCATAAAAGCGACAATACTATGAAATATTGAAATGTCTTTCACATGAACGCATACTAAGAGCCTTTCTTGGCCACTAATAACACACAGGCCTTATCACAGGACCACCAAAGCCAAAAAAAATTACCATAAACCAATATGGAAACGGTGTGATGACCAATCTGTGGTTCTTAAACCAATCTGTCTCTTTCTAGTTTCCTTCGTATTTCAGGAATCAAAATGCAAAACAAAAACTCAACTTTCCTGGAGCTTTTTTTTATGTCAAACTGAAAACAAAAAGGCATTAAATAACTTTTTAGAAACCTTCAGATAATCACTGTAACCAAGCTTAGAGAGATATCCATAATGAATCAATGAT